TTTTATTATTAATAATAAACTATGATTTTATTTTATATAAAAAATGTATTTAACATTTTATATTCGTGACCACAAATAATAAATATAATAAATTATTACAGAATAATAAGCACAATTAATTAATTTATACCAGAAAATAAATGAGTTATAATTATAAATATAAAACACATTGAAATATACACAAAATATATAAAAACAACTAATATTTAAAACAATAAACTGTTATGATTTTTTATACAAAAAAATAAAATAATGTGTTTAATGGAAAAATAATGGAATTATCTTATTTTTAAGAGCATCTTTTTGGTGCAATATAATGGGGGTTTAAAAAAAATAATTCATAAATTAAACAAAAAAATAACAATTATTTATGAAAAAATACAAAAACACTATTTATAATTTGATTTAAAAGATCATCTCAAAATAATTAAAAATATAAAAACAAGTTTGCTGGTATAAAAATACTCAAATTGCCTAAAAGCTAAAAATGTAATTATAAATGGTAAACAGTTAAAACACGCCGTAATAACGGGATATTAATTAAATGTATAAGAAAAAAATAGGATTGATAATTATAAATTATATAGTACAATTATATTAAATTATATACAAAAATATGTTAAATAATTATAAAACTACAAAAACAATGGAAGAAAATTATTGTGTTTAAATCAATTAAAACACAAATTAATTTTTTTAAATATGGGTTCCTTTATCATTCTGTTATAGTTGAAAACACAAAAATTGTGTATTTTTATTTTTGTCTTTTATGTTTGACTTGGTTAACAACAGATGAAAAGAAAAGACACAAATGTTACAATTCTTGTAAAACGTTCCCAAGTGTTAATGATACAAACGCTAAAATGATGATTGAAAAACTTAACAATAGAATACAATTTCAGTTTAATAACACAGACTATAATCCTTATAAAATAAAGGAAAAATATGATTCAAAAATCATGGTTTTCATTAACAAAAAGAAAGCAAAAGAAATAAAAAGAAAAGAAGTTTTAGAAAGGACTGAAATAACAGGTAAAGTTAGTTTGGATGATGGGAGGTATTTGTTTGAAAACAGAGCAGAGTATAATCATATCGTTCCACTTTTTGTTGACGATAATCAAATTCATACCAACTCAACACAACCAATGATTGTTGATGATCACTCATCATGTTTAACAGAAGTCCAACCATCTCAGAGACAATCAATAGTTGACACTGTACCAATAGTCAATTTCCATTGTGCCGATTCACACAACGAATCTTTGTTGACAT